AAAAAAAAAAAAAAAAAAAAAAAAAAAAAAAAAAAAAAAAAAAAAAAAAAAAAAAAAAAAAAAAAAAAAAAACCAAACAAACAAACAAAAAAAATAGAGGTGAGATCTTACTATGCTGCCCAGGCCAGTTTCGAACTCCTGGCCTCCTCATCCTCCTGTCTCAGCCTCCTAAACTGCTGGGGTGAGAGGCGTGAGCCACTGTGCCTGGCCTAAGGCAGCCCTTGGCTCCCCTTTATCCATCCTAACCTGGGTTTTACTTGGGTCTCTTACCCTAGAGAGCATCCAGGGATGGCTTTCAGGAGGTGAGGTCTTAGTCCCAGTACTGTCCTCAGGTGGTATCACATTGGGCAAGGTACTTCCCCTTCCCAGGCCTCAGCTTCCCTGCTGTAAGTGGGGACGATACTTCCTGCTATGTCTCTCTCTTAGGCTGCTGTGAGAATGGAGGGAAAGTCCTTTGGAAAGTTCTGCCCTTTCCTGCTAGCTGTGCAGTGAGGGCTTTTCATTCTCCTATCCTTCCACCACCCCGGTCACAACCTCCTTAGCCCTCTATTTTAACATCTGTGTTAGTTTCCCCACCTAATGGTCATCTTGGGGATAGGGATCCAGTCTAGCTTGACACACAGGGACCTTTAGGGGGTGAGGGATGGACAAACTGGGCTGGTGGCATTCCAGGACCCTCACTAGTCCCTGCCTCCAGTCTCCACTTCATGCATTCTTAGACCTTCCTGTGCATATACTTCATTACCTGAGAGCCTTTGCGTGGGCTGCAGCCCTACCTGAAATACCCTCCCTGCTCCTCTTCACGTGTGTGAAACCACCCACTTTGGTGGCACAGCTTAATGCTACTTCTTCCAAGGAGTCCTCCCTGAACACAACAGCTGTAGCTTTCCTGACCTCTGTTTTCTGGGCTTTGGAAGCCCTGTTAGCACCATTTGCAGCGGCACTGAATGAAGACAAGTGTCCTGGGAGTGCCTTGTCCCCCTCTCTCTGCCTTCTTCCTGCCGCGATCATAAGCTTGAGAGCCGCAACAGTGCTCTGGGCGGGAGCACCTAGTAGATATTCAGACGTGATGTATTCTACTGAACGTCATCTCCAAGTCTCTCCAGCTGCTTTTCTAGTTGTCTCTGTTCTCTCTCTTCCCTCAGACAGACCAGGGCTCCCCTGGGGTGGGGGTTATACCTCTCCCATAAGACTAGGCCCCTCTGAAGTGGCTGTTCTCTGCCATTAGAATGAAATCCCCTCAGGGGGGATTCTGTGACTCCCTATCAAACTAGATGTTCCAAAAGAATAGAGACCAGGCCCCATCCCTCTTTCTGTGGATTCCAGCTTCCCAGAACACCCACCGTAGGCCCACCCATGCTCTGGTGGAAGAACAGACATGGGGCACCAGGGGAAGAGGGAAGTATGAGAAACTAACCTTAAATTCAGGCTCCTTGTGTGCAAGGCGCCTGAGCTCATGGCTCAGCTGGAAGGCAGCCAGCATGGCGTCCTCACTGGCCAGTGAGAGGTGGGCCCTGCTGACGATGCCACGGTAGGTGTTGATGCGGGACAGCGAGAACTTCAGCAGGTCGTAGCGGCGGGCGTTGCTGCACTCGAGGCAGGCACAGGAGACTGGGTGGGGCCGGGCAATGGTGTGACCCTGGTCCATGAGCAGCTGCGCTATCTCATACAAGTCCTTCTGGCAGGCCAGGGTGAGGGGAGTGACACCAGGTGCAAAGCGGGAGCCGTCGATAGATGAGTCAAAGAAAGCCAGTGAGAAAGATCTGGTGTCTACTTTGCGACCCTTCTCCCGTTCCAGCCGGGCCAGCAGGTGACGCACCACTGCCGGCTGGTTTGTGTCCACTGCCACTAGCAGGGCCTCATGGATCTGGCGGAAGTCAAACTTGACACTGGCCAACAGCACATCGGTGATGGCCTCATGGCCCAGGCGGATGGCCAGGTTGAGTGCTTCCCTCCAGGAGCGATCCTCGGCCTCTTCCACATTCCGCAGGGGCCCGCCTGGTCCACTGCTTGTGGCCTCAACCCCTGACTCCAGCAGCTGCTGCACGAGGCCCAGTCGGCCCTCCTGGATGGCACCCAGGAGTGGAGGTGGGAAACTGAGCTTCCTGTTCACGATCTCAGTCCAGTTAGGCTGTTGGCAGATGAAGGAGTGGAGATGCTGTGACCCTGAGTTCCAACTCCCTTTGTTTTGGGGCCTTTTTCACCTTCCCAAGTTCTAACTCTTAACCCTCTATATGTAGCCACCATTATATTCTTCCTTGTCCCAAACACACTGACAAATATTGTCTTATTCATCATTTTACTGTGTAGCTTCTCAGGTTAGGAAAATCTACATTGTGTGCAGCGGGGGCTTTTTTTTTTGAGACGGAGTTTCGCTCTAGTTACCCAGGCTGGAGTGCAATGGCGCGATCTCGGCTCACCGCAACCTCCGCCTCCTGGGTTCAGGCAATTCTCCTGCCTCAGCCTCCTGAGTAGCTGGGACTACAGGCACGTGCCACCATGCCCAGCTAATTTTTTGTATTTTTAGTAGAGACGGGGTTTCACCGTGTTGACCAGGATGGTCTCAATCTCTTGACCTCGTGATCCACCCACCTCGGCCTCCCAAAGTGCTGGGATTACAGGCGTGAGCCACTGCAGCAGGGGCTTTTAATTCTCCCCCCACTGGGGACAGACTACGGGCCACTTTCTCAGCTCGACTTCCACCCTCACAGGAGCCCTCCCCACAGCAGGGCTACCTGTGGGTACCTTGAGCAAGGGTAGGTTAAAGCAGGGGTGGGCGGCCCTGGGAGCCTAACCCCACATACAGGTGCACGGGATCTGTTTGGACCCAGCTCCCCTCTTGTTGACTTCATCTCCCAGCTGCTCTTCCCTCTCAAAGTCTCAGAGCCTCACCCAAGGGCAGGCCCAGACATGTCCACACAGGAGGGTCTTTGTACTGGGCTTTTGCCAAGCCCCTCAGCTCTGACCAGGGCCCCGGCAGGATCCCAATATGCTCTTTCTTCACCAATCCTCCTGCTTTGTCCTCCCCTGCTTTGGGGGGGTATTTCTCCCCCTTGGCACTGCCTTGTCCCTCACTTCTACCAGCCCCAGCCCCGTCCTCATTGCTCTTCTCTTCTGGGTCCAGGCTCAGGGTTCCAGGGGCTCTTCTCCCACCCACATAGTGGTGTCCGCCACCTGCCTGGCAGCTAGGATGCCCTTGCAGTGCCTCTGGGCCAATCTTTTGTTTCATTCATGGGTAGAAATGAGACCAGGATGGGAGAAGGTAGGGGAGCAGGCTTCTTACCGTGATGGGGTCCATGGCTGTGCCCACCTATGCTGGCACCTGTGCTGGCAGGGACCGAGGGACTGAACTCCTGCTCAGTCTTCTCCCTGACTGTGCCTAGCACCCTCTTTCCTATCCATTCAGAACCCCGCCCTGGGCCCTCCCTTTGCAGGACCAGCTGCTCCCCCTCTGCCCTGTACCCTGGGGAACTGGTGTTAGTGCCACACAGTGAAATCTTCTGGGAAAGGGGAGACAAGACATATTTGCTCAAAGACAGCGGGAGCAGAATTTGGAATATCACAGCTTGAGGGAAACTTCAACACCCTCTGGTCCAACCACCTCCTTATGTAGATGAGGAATGGGATCTGCCCAAGGTTCCACAGCCAGGCCTAGAACTACTCCTTAGTCATTAACCCATCTGGTCCCTATCATAGCTCTGTGACCAGGAGGATGGGAACATTTTTTCTCTCAGGTAATTCTGGATGCTAACATAAATAACTTGCTTGGTGTCACACAGCATCACCATTATCTGATTATACCCAGGACAGGAGCCCACAAAGGAGACTGAGAGCTCGGTTCACGGGATGCTAGATGTCAGCCTCATGCTCAAAACTCACGTGCACATTCCCAGCATACCACAGGATTTTATTTGTCAGGCAGCATTTGCTCTTCACTGGGCCTACAGTTTTCCTTTCAGGAAAATGGGCATGAGAATGTGCACCACTCACAGAGAGAAAGACATTCTAGATGGTGTCCCAAGGCCCAAAAGTTCCAAGGAGGCTTCCAAGGGGGAAAAGAACAGAGCTGGCCTTAGGAGAATCAGGTGCCATGGTCACAGAAGCCTTGACAACTGGGAATGGGGATCAGGTTAGGCACAGAGGTGTTCTCAGGCAGAGTCCTGAGGGAAGGAGAGGAGGGGAGAGAGAGGGAGCTTTGGCCTTATCAGCCCTTCTCAGCTGTCAAGTGATTTAGTCTCAATCTTAGTCATAGAGTCATAGGAAGTCCCCACACACGCCGGCATGCTCTTCTACTTCTCTTGGTGAGAAATGCAACTGGCAGATAGGGCACTGAACCCAGGAGATAGGGGGTGAATTCTCTGGGGAGGATACCCACAGTACAGACTGGGACGATGATGATGAGGATGAGGGAGAAGCTGAGTGAGGTGGGGAGGTCTCTCCGCAAGTGGCAGCGTGCCAGGGAAGAATCTCAATCCTGAAGGAGCCTATGGGGGAGAGAAGGAGGTGAACAAAACTGGGCCTGCTCCCAGGTGGGATGCCACCCCCCAAAGTCTGGATAAGCTATGAAGACAAATAACATTGATTCACAGCAGACGGTGAGAAGGGCTAAGTCCAAGGGAATCAGAGAATCCTGCAGAAGCTCAGTTGGGAGAGATCATGTGGGCAGATAAGAGAACATGTGGCAAAGAAGGGCCATTTGAACAAAGACTGAAAGAGTAAGCAGCATTTGGACATGCAGGAAAAAGTTACGGAGGAAATTCTAGGTCCTGTCCGATAGCGTTTTACGTTGTTCGTTTTCATGCTTCTCCTGAGGGCAGGGCCCACGTCCCTTCCTCAGCTTAGCTGGCACAGTGTGAACAGGTGCTCAGTACAGACTTGTCTTGAATTACACTTGACTACAAATACAGTTCCACACCTGGGAGCTGCAGAGATGTTGGAAGCCAGCACTCCAAATTCGAATGTTTCTTGGCAGTATCCCCAGATCTCCTAGTCCCCCCTCAAGGAATGCCTAGTTGTCATACAACAGCTCCCAAGCATCTTACCTGCACAAATGGGGCACTGTCTGCTATCCTGGCCACTACTGCTTTGGGCCTGCGGTCGGTGTTGTTTTCTTTGCCCTGCTCTTGCTGTCTCCCTCCTGTTTGGCCGAGAATTAGAGTTGGATAAAGGCCTGTGAGAAAGAACAGTTAAAAAGAGGTATTAGCGGCCGGGCGCGGTGGCTCAAGCCTGTAATCCCAGCACTTTGGGAGGCCGAGGTGGGTGGATTACAAGGTCAAGAGATCGAGACCATCCTGGTCAACATGGTGAAACCC